GGAAAGAGCCTAATTTTCAGCTGACTCACCCTCCCTTTCATGCTCAACTAAAAGCTTAAAATCTGGCTGCTACTAAAGACTGGTCTTCATGGGTAGATCCAGGATCTTGAAAATAACTAAAGGATCTCCAAGACTGTGAAATAAGAGAAGAGACTAGGAACAGCTAGAAGACAGAAACACTGTCCTAAGAAAGGCTGCTGTGATTAGCAGAACATTAAGACTATTAAAAAGGAGACAAACCACTAACACCTGTGGAGTAAAGAAAAATGAACTATTAAAGTTAACAGACTCTCTCAGTTGCCTGAATAGCAAAAGCAACAGCAGCTGCACTGTGAAGCGGTAATCAAAGCAGGGTGCTTCTATCCCAGACAGAAAATTAGTTTCCCTACTTAATACATGCACCCCAGTTTTGGGGGGCTGATTCTGAGGGAGGAAAAGTAAAAGTAGTATGCAAGAAAATACGGTAGTATGGCAACCCGTAGATTCTCCATCTCTTAGTCTTCAAATGGAGACTGAATGCCCTTCTGGACGATAGAGTTTCACCCAGTTGCATTTGGCTGAAGTGTAAAGGCTACGTCAAAGAGAGATCAAAAATAGATCTAATGGTCCTTTCTGGATGTTAAAATTGCAAACCTACTTTAGAATCACTTCAGAAAGCCAAAGGATATTGCAGGGGAAGGGGGAAGTACAGATCAACCACATTAACTTTAAGCCTTCTTAGACCAGCAACCAATCAGAATTTTCCATCAGTTTTTATATTCGTGATATTTTATGAGGTTCAACCAGACTGGGGCCACATGTTATCATGCCTACAGTACAATCTGTATGGATTGTGGCTGGACATGAATGATGATATGGATCTGACCAACTTCCCAATCCCATCAGTGCCTGTGGCTGTATTGCCCAATCAGACAACATGCTCTTGCCTTATGCAAGCCCAGAACTCTCTAAACCAGACTTTCATTTCTACAAGAATGCTCAAAACCAGCCCTGACCACAATCACTGACCTCATTATGACAGGCTAGTGTCCACAATCAGACCACGCAGGTACAAACTGAAGAGAGGTACCAGTTATACAGTCTTCCTGCTTCCACATACTAGCACTAGTCTACTAGTCAATGTATTTTTGTTGTCCTGTGCATTTCTGATTGAAATAGTTTCAAATGTGTAAAAGGAATCTTATTGAGAAAGCAATCCCTATCCCAGAACAAACGAACAAAGGATGTACAAATCACCATCCCTGCCACTGCCAGAGTACTGTGGAAACCAATGTCTTTACCATGCATCACAAAGACTAAGCCTCTTGTGTCCTCATCTCAGAATAGGATAATCCTCAAAAATGAGGATGGAACTCTCCTTTTTGATTGAGACGTAGGAAGTATCTCAAGTTGCTGCTTTCACAGTCCTTAGAGTAGAGGCTCTCATGAGTTTATCAGCTGCAGATATCAAGTTCCTAGATTCACTAAACCTAGTATTTATAATTAGCATTTTCACTGACCAACTTGAGAAGAGACCAAAAAAAAAAAACCCATCAAAAAAACCCAGTTTTGTACCAACAGTAGAACAGATGTGAGCTTGATGAAATAGAATGACTTTATTTCTGTAAACACTACAGACCAATTTGAATTTCACAAATTGTAAGAAAAACTGCATTTTCTATTGAAATCACAGTTAATACAGCTAGCAAACACCATGGTCAGAAACTTTTGACAGGCAACATTCCAAGGCAGCACAGCAACGTTTAAAACCAACCACAAAACAACTCACAGCCACACCTGAAGCACTCTGACAAGTCAGCCTCTATAGGGTGGGAAAACAGACCGACAGGCCCTCATCATGAAAGGAACCAGCCATTTTGAGTGGTCATCCATACCACAAACACTTTCAACATCACCCAAATACCTGCATAATTCCAAGAGCTTTTCCACAAGTTTGCCCTTTCCTCCAAGAACCCTTCTATCCTCTATGTATATCTGCTTTTAACAGGACTTCTGATTTTATCTCTCAACCCTGACTATCTGCATGATAAGACTTCTTGAGTTCTCACATTAAATTAAATTTCCTAAGCCTGTCTGATTAAAGACAATGAGTACAAGCCATTTCATTTCCACAGATAAACTCTGACAGTACGCCTGAATGGCACAATTCAGTGTCGTGCAGATGTACTTGAGATAACTCGGATACAAGAAGCAATGTAGTTAATTTAATGCAGGACTCCACCATAACTGATTTGGCCTGCTGAGAAGCAGGATATATTAGTACAGCACTCTACCCAAACTAACAAGGCTATATAGCACTGGTACCCAAGCTATTTCTACCACATGCATAATGTTGAGTTGTTGGAATTAGGTGCCTTCTCTCCCTAACCCATACATCCATAAGATCATAACCCAGGAAGAAGTTTTTTGGTCATTTAAAAGACAAGTTCCTAGAACTTGGAAAGCATTTCTTTTTCATCCTATGGAAAGATGCTGTGCTAATCAGGAGTTTCTGAATCCCACACTGTTTAATCCTTTTGCAATAACCTTGCATTTGTCTACGGAGACTGTCTCAGGCAAACATACATACCTTCCTTTTGCCAACAGACTCCCAAGGAGAGACATCACTCCATGAAGTGTTGCAAAAATATTTCTCTCCTGGATCAAAATGTTTAAGATTCTAAAAAGAAAAGGAGAAAAAAAAAAGTTACATATATAATTTGTTTCAGAAATCAATGCTAAGTATAGAAATACATTTGATACAGCTGACTGAAAACTAATCAATTTGCAATATTATATCCACAAAAATTAATGCTGAATGTTTTAAACTTTTACTTGATCCTTATTAGGTTAATGTTCTCTCATAACCATGTTGTATTGTTTGGTCCAAAATATTTTTAAAGAATACTAAATGTTCAGAACAATTTAAGTCCTTTTGCTTCAATACAAGTTTGGGAATATTTAAAAAAGAACAAACATTCTTTTCTCCTCTCATCTACAGTACTGCAGATTTTGCCTCCAACTCTTCTCCTCTATCAGTGTCCAGAACCTCATGTTTCATCTCCTCAACTCCAAGAATCATTTTACAACTAGATCTCAATCTCTAAGTCTTCAATATTTTTATATATTAGTATGCAAAGACTTTTGGAACTACTTTTCCAGTAATTAAACACTATTTCCTTCTACTAGCACATGAACAGGTGGAAGAATATTGTAGTTGATATCAATTTCCCCAAATGTGTATTTTTGAACTGTTCATATGAGAGCTAATTTCACACATTTTTTCTAATAAGGAGTGATCAAAGTAAAATTTAAGTGAAGAAAAAGCAACTCAACTTCAGAGAACTCTCATTTTTCTAATTTGCAATGCCTTATTCATGTTAAAATGCTAGATTCAAGCTTCTGTTCATCACATAGTAAAAGCACTGTACTTGATTAGCCACTTATTGCTGCTTGCCTCAAAAAGAAAGGATATGATTTTAATTTTGTTCTCTATAACATAGGAATTCTTTTCAGGGTAATAACACATAGCCAAGGTTAGGATATACAGGTAGTATGTAGCTATTACTATTTGCAAGTAGAAGCAGATCTTTCAAAAATTTCTCCAATGAGGAGAATCCTGAAAAATCTCAAAGTACAAGATGAGAAAATCAATAGAAGATCTGGCATAGAACAAAAGAAACCCCATAATCCTCCAGTCTTTTTTCCGCCCGCATTTCAATGAGTATGGAAATAGAAGGGATTCCCAGATACTTATTGACCTAAATGAAACTTTCCGTTGAGACCAGCTAACTGCAATGAACTTTGTCAGGAATGTTTTTGGATCCAAGATAGAATTTCTGCTCAAAACTTGAGAGACAAACACAGACCCATTTCACACATCCCAGACTATCGATTACTGCAGGATGGCTCTCTCCCAACCACACCTGGAGTTCTCCTTTGTATAAAGTATATATTCATTGGTCAAAGAAGAAACTGTGTGTGTAGGCTCAGTGATCAAGACCCTCACCTGGAAAGCATTAGACCCACGTTCATACACCTCATCTCAGCTGCTGAGGGCCCTAACCAGTAGCTACTGACAATCCTAGAATAGATATTCTCAGATTTTGCAAAAATTAAATGATAAAGAAAAAGAAGAACAAAAAAAAAAAAAAAAAAAAAACAAAAACCTTCAAGGCTCCCATTATACAGACATTTTTGAAACTTCTATAAGATCCACAGGACAGGAAAACCTTTCAGAACTTGGAGGAAAACAATGGTTACCAGAAAGACCTTTTGGACAGTGTTATTGAATGCTTACCTATACTTTAATTTTTAGTACTTTACACTGTTGCAATCCCAACCTGTTGGGAGAGGAGCTAAAACAAATAATTTATTCTGACACTGCAGTCTGGGTACACTTTATCCAACAGTGTTGTATAGAGGATCTAGCCAAAAGCCTAATACAGAGAATCCATGCCTTACTCCAGGTAGAGGTAGTAAAGCTGTTCATCCACAAACAGGTCCTTTCACTCTTTGGTTAAAGAGGGAAGACAAGTAATCCAAGGCTCCCCTCAACAATGATGAATTACCACACCTTATTAGAAACAGTCCAAGCAGCAGAGAAGCTGATTCCTTTTTTAAGAGGCATGTTTCACAACTACCTCAGATTGGCAGATCAGCTTCATGACATAATGATGTTGTTACATACAGCTCAATCTGCCCATTTCCCCAGAAATAATGGCATTCAAGTTAGTTCTGATCTAATTAATATCAGGCACACCATGTTGCTATGAAAGTATTGAATTTGCACAAACCGCATGCAAATTAAAGTAGTCACTGCTACTGATGAAGTTATATCATACTCAAAAGAAACTGCTCTACTTATGGGGGGGAAGAAACCAAGTGTCATTTGGTATACCTAATCCAGTTCTTGCACTCCAAAAAAACACACTGCACTTTAAGTGGAGATTTATAACTCTCAAAATTCTTATGCCTTTATCTTTGAAGAAAGGAAAAGTAAATTAGTTGGAAATAATACCTTTACTAAGAGTAGTGAAATAAGAAAAAGTACTGGACGAATACATGATTGTAGTCTTTTCAACAAGTTTATTCATATACTACAGTCCCTCAAACAAGATTCAGTAACAGTAAACAAAACTGTTAAGTGTCCAAGGATTAGTGATACAGCAAACTAAAACACATTTCTTTTGATCATTTAAAAGCTTGTATACAATTTCAAGAGAAGCAAACACTACAGCAAAAAGTAGACAGCACAGCAAAATTATCCACAAGATAACAAATTGGCCCTCTTTTTTCCTACCAATACATTACACTTAAGAGAATAAGTCAGCTCTCAGCTGGTGCCAAAAGTAAGATCATGGGCATGCTGAAAAGACAAGGAAGGGCTGGTCATATCAAGGCAACTATTTAGTAGTTTTGTTTTTGAAAAGTATTTGCATTTGTAGCTTCCCAATATTACATTCTGCAATCTGAATGTGTAGATTCTCTTTGTTATAGACAACTGTTTTTTTCCCCAGAAAATAGTAATAGTGCAGCACTCGTCTTCACAGTCTCAGTGCACTTGAGGTTGAATTGCTTGCATTTGTGAAGATATGAAAATGAAACTGCCACTCTAGTTAGATCTTTTTCCAACACCAAGTTTTAAAGACTTACAATAAATTACTGGGTCCATTTGCTTGGTTTACAAATGCTGACAGTTTGTATGTCCTTCTGAGATTTCTTCTTGCTTTCTCAAGGCAGAGTGGTCAATCCCTAACTTTGTGCCTTCATTTGTCCTTTTTTGGGGAAAAAAAAGAATCTCATACAGAAAAATAGTTGTGTAGTAGACAGGAAATGTTTTTTAAGCTGATGTATCTTCCTTCTCTTCAGTAGTACCAGTATAGAATATATCACCTTCCAAGTCATGCCTCTCAGGATCAAAATACTTCAGCATTTTAATGTTACAAGAAACACTCAATTTCAGGCTATAATATAAATATTACCTGACTCTAGAAAGCAAGTAAGGATGCAGTTCTCCTTCCTGACCCCATCATAAATACAAAGCAAAGATTAAACTTACAAATACACTGATCTATGACAGACTTAAAAAAAATAAAGCTTCAGCAGTTTGTTATACTACTTCAGTGCTTTACCTGTAGTAACTCCCTGCAGCTGTCAAGCCCAATATCCACAAGAATGCCTTTCACCTTTTTTCGAGCCTTCCTGATATTATCAAGATTTTGAACAGGAATTTGAAACATTTTGCACTTCTCCTGAAAGAGAAAGACAAAAATAATGTGATGGAATGTTTCTACATGCACATTCACATGCTGCTGTGTTTTAGCAATAATTTAAGTAATGGGAATACCTCCCTCAAAAATGTTCCAATATGAAAACCAAAAGGTCTTAAATAACTTTTAAGAGACCACTTCTTATTCAAAAAAAATTTTTAAAAACACCCACAAGACAAATGTCACCACCACATGTGTGTATTTACGAAAAATCCAAAATCCAAGATTGAGAAGTGAAGGAAGGGGAGAAAAGGTCCAATTCTTCCCAGCCATGTCTCAAAAAAAGACAAAAAAATATTAAGTCTTGACATTCCTCTTTCTTGACTATCCAGTATTATATGCTTTAGCAGTGGAGCCTGTCTATTGAAGGTGCACTGAGTTCTGGTTTATATTCAGAAAATAACCACCACTTCACTTATCAGATATATAATGTGCATACACACGTGATGGTATCTGCCTCCAAGGTAACTGCATCCTTTCTTTAGCATTTGCAGGGATATTTTCGCTACACAAGCAGCTATTTCAAGCAGAGTTGTTGGTGAAATCTGAATTTCCTGCAACTGCTAATACTACCTTGCTTGAATTACATGAACTCTTGACATTTGAAGAGACTGCAATACTAGTACTGAGATTGCTAAAGCCTTTCAATCAACAAAGCACTATTACTTCAAAATGGCTAACAGCTAGAGCTACAGATGTGGACTGAATTAAAAACAAAACAAAAAAACTTTTGCTCTAAATAGCACTATCTAAACTGCTTCTCATCACATTTACTTTGCTAAATCAGAGAGTACATGTAGTTCTAATACTATTTTGGGTGACTATATCCAACTGGTATCTAGCTATTCAAGCCTGACAATAGTCAGCATGTGGATTCAAGTTAAATCCCAGTTAAGAGAGACCCTACCATAAGCTTAAGAAAACTTAAGAGAATGCCACCACAATGGTCAGACCTTCTGATGGAGGACACACACCAAAAAGTCAAGATAAGCCTCCATTTTAGAAGTTCTTCTGTGGCTCCCACTGAGGTTGCGTTCTTCTACAGCAGTATCTAAGAAAAAAATTCTACCATCTCCAACTGGTGAGGAAACCACATGCCATCCCTATAAGTTAGGCACACGTGCCTTCAATCACCTTAGGTTAAAGCAATGCAACTGATTTGAGTTTCAGAGCATCAACGACCCCAAAACTGAAACTGGTTCAGAAGGCAGCAGCCTGCCTCCTCCACAAAACACAGGTTACCTAGACTTACTTTACCAAGCCATTTTCTACTCTTCATGCACAGATCTGCAAAGATCTAATGACGCTTGAAGGCTTCTAAAAACATAGTTGTCTGGAACCAAGAAACCCAAAATACTGCTTCACCCCCAAGGGCCTTGCATGCTTTTGGGGGCTATATCTCAAAAAGAAACAAGCAAGCAGTCTCCTGCCACAGTAAAGTCTGCCTTAATGCTGTGGAATTCTGCCCCTCAGAAACTGAATCACCACCTCACCTCACCTACATCCCAGTTCAAGTAAAAACAAAGTTTTCCCCCACACTCTGGACTCCCCCACCTCCCCTCCACCAACAAGAATAAACACACATTTATTTGTTCATAAAACAGAAGAGCTTTGTAGTAAGATCAAAAACAAAAACAACCCAAAAAACTCACATGCTATTCTCCTCCTCTTCTCCCCCCAAAGGAAAGATGTGTAGAGAGAAATGAAGAGGGAGCCCCATTTGACAGATGCTAATCTCCTTTCCTAATTTTTTTGGTAAAAACTCTGGAAGACATTCTGATACCATGGAAATAGGTGTGGTAGTGGAACCTACAGAAAATGGAACAAAAATCATAAATAACTGATCTAGTATTGCTCTATAAGAAAATCCAAGTATCAAAATCACAGTCAAAGCGGTACCAAAGTCCTCATTCTAAATTGAAGTCTACTGGGAATTAGGGCATACTTTACAGTTAAATTTTCATTTATGATTAGTACATATTGAGTAACATTCACTAGCACCCTGGTCCATCAAAGATCATCCAGAACAGCTGATAAGCAAGGAAGATATCTGGATTCTATGATAAGGTAGAGTCCACTGAAAATATTTCTATGTGGATCATTTTACTTCTAACATACACAGATGCCTCTGGATGAGATGAAACTGGCTTGTTTCTTACGGCAAGTTTCTCTCACAAGATAGAACCATCACAGTCTCTACAGACAACACAATATAACCCATTCCCATGCTCCTCAGTATTGTCTTAACAATAAAATGCCTAGATTATCCAAAAGAAAAAAGTCTTGAATAGAGCTGACTATATATAGTCGTTTTAAAGACAGTGTTCTTCAAACCAAGAGACCTACATCCCATAATGTACTGCATGACATTACACCATTAATCTCTAACACACTGCTTGGAAGCAGGATACAGAAATTATGCATCTAATACAGGTATCAGCAACATTTTGTTGTCCAAGGCTGCAAACCTCTACCCACACCCCACTACTCCAGAGGGACAGGGAGCAGGCAGCTTCCTGCATGTTGCCTCATTCTCCCCGTACCTGGAGCTAGGAAGGACCACTGCAGGCCAGATCCCAGGGTGGCACCATAGGGTGCCAGCCATTGACAGAATACATTTATGATAGATTACCAAAATTAGGAACCCTTTTGATTTCCTGAACTCAATTTTTCCAAGTCCTCAGTTTCACTTTTCCCCAGTTCTATATTTTGAATGCTGAGTTCAGTAGTTAAAAATAGATGATTTTCAATTTCGTTTTGAGGGGGGACTTTTTGGACCTTCTTCAGTCTTTAACCAATACTTGCAACTGATTTCCATTCTGAACTATACCCAACCTTTGCTAGTGTCTCTTCAGCTCTTAACAATCAAATCAACCATGGAATCCATAAAACAAATTCAGTAATAGATGCACGGTATTCTCTCTCACACACAACACACCCCAAAATAACACATACACCTTGTTTCTGAAAGGCAGGATAAAGAGAAGATATTTCTTTGTTGCAAGTAACAAAGTAGCAGCAGCTAGAGCCAAGCCTGCTCACTGTTCTTCACCCTATAGATCGTGTGCAAATTTTGGCCACATACAGACATTCAGTTTCTGCTGGGAGAGTTGCTGCACTCCCAGCAGAAACCACGTGTCCAAATATTCAGCATTTTTCTCCCAAAGCAAAAATGACTGCTGCAGGAAAAAAATAACCTGGGAACAACCAGAGGTAAATCACTTCTGGGGAGAGTTTCTGCTGGGAAAGTGAATGTCTGTATACAGGATGGCCACTGATCCATTCCCCAGAATATAGAACAGCCCCTTCGTGAAGGGCAGATCCCTCAGTCAATCAGCAGTGAGGGGTGGGGCCACTGCCTCCTCAACCAATCAGCAGCAATGGGTGGGGCCACCAGCCCCCTTGGCCAATCAGCAGTGAGGGGCAAGGCTACCACCTCCCTCCCTCCTTAGCTCAGAACCCTTCTCCTCCTGGCTGTGCACTGCCCTACCTCTCAGCACAGCCAACAGAATCACAAGGACAAATGACTGACATGTATTTCCACCAAAGAACAGAAAAACAGGACTTTTTGCTGTCGGTTCCTCATTCAGAAATGGACAGGGGACAAAGAGTTTAAAAACAGGATGATCCAGCATGAAACAAAACCAATGGCCACCCTATCTGTACATGTTCTCTTCTGAAAACAGATACAGCACGGTCCTCCAACATCCCATGGTGCTCTGCTCCTGCCTCCCACCCACAAGGAAGGCAGTGTGTCGCTTGCTGGACTCTGCTGCTCCAGCCAAGCAGGGAGCTCCACAATCCCCATACTGTGCTGCAAGGACTCACAGGCCGACTCTGGGCAACCAGTCAGGGCTGCCCTGTGCATTGCTGCCATATGTCTCCAAGCAGACCGACATGTGATCAAGGGCCCCTGATAAACAATTTAAGCACATTAATACGCAGGAACCTAGTCAAAGTTTTGAAAGTACATAAGCAATTAAGTGGTCACTAGCTCTGCAACTTTAAAATACTCCTGCTGTGTACCTAAGTATTTTTGAAAAACATGGCCAAAGATGACAGAAACAATCAAATCACTACTTAAGAGCTGATCCATACCTGAATAAATAAATGCAAAACATTCTGGTACAAAAAATAAGCTTATATATTCAGTATATTAAAGATAACTATGTAACTAATAAGTTCAATATACTACTTTTGCATGTTTGAAAAGAATTCCAGCTTCCATCCAAATGCAGCTCGACTAAATGAGTAATGGGGTAAAAAGATTATTAGTATATAGAAATGCATACAATATATCATTTTCTAACAGCTTTGTTTGTTAATATATGTAATTTTTAAGTAATTATTTATAGATACAGTATTTCCTGGTTAGCTAAAGGTAGTATCCAATTTTAGTGTGAAGTCTATCTGATTGCAAATCAATGTTTTAATAATTATACCAACCAGCAAACCTTTCTGTAGGAAAATAATCAGAGCATGAATGAAAAGTAGGTTTAAAATAAATTATTTAAAAATTAATTAAAATCATTGCGATTTAAAATTAATCCACCCTGATGACAAGTTAACATATTGGAAAAGAAAGTCTCTTAAAAGATTTAGCATAACTCTTCAATTAATCTACTAGCTAACTACATATATCTTGACTTTGAAGCTTTGGACAACTGAAGACTCTCAACTTGGTCTTCCTTATTTCTATAAATAAACCAGACAAAAGAAAAAACTGAGGGCACAAGCACAAATGTTTTGCAAGTTAACCTTAAAATGTGCTGGAACTGTTGTAACCTCTCCAGATGTTATCCCAGTTTACACACTGAAGTAGACACTCTCAAATAAAAATGTACCTATTGTATAGTTGACGTGTGTATATTGAAGTCACAGTTTACATTAGTTGTTCTCAACCTTTTCAGAGTCAGGGCACCCCTCCACCACTTTTAATGTGGCAGTACCCCAGGTTGAGAACCACTGTTGGTGCTGCCTTGACTTACCTCGGGGCTTCTCAACCAGTTGCCCCCAGATAAAACTGCTCCACACGCCTGGGGCACAGTCAGCCTAGGAAGGGCTATGGCATGTGTGCGCAGGCTGTGACAAGTGGCAAAGCTAGCAGGAGCTACCTTATGCTTTAAGGACCTTTACACTCCTCCCAGGAACAGAGGCAGGCATCTAGAACTGCCCCACACATCTCTGCTTCTGGAAGGAGCTGGACCAGGAGGGCTACAGCCTCCCAGCTCCTACTTTAGTCTTATCGGAGCCCTAATACAGCAAAAGCGTGTTCAGGACAATTTTACCTGGCTGCTAAGGTGACAGCAGCACCCAAGGTGGACTCGTGGCTCCCTGGTTTTGGACTGGTGATCTACATAAAGCCCTTTTCTTTTCAAATTTAAACCAATGGCAGACAACAACAAAACCCTAGAGATTTGCACAGTTTGATTTCTTTACCAAACCAAATTTTCTACCAGTGAACTACCAACCTTGTGTAAAAATAACACGGGAGAAGGGAGCGAGCAGATCTTAGTAGAAAGGGGAGGGGTGTAAACCCTAGAGTCTAGACATATACCCCAGATCCCTTTTATTTACACATGAGCATCAAAATGCAAGTCCCTATATGCCCCCTGGAACCTGACACGATAATGCCAAGCATTTCTGCAGCCACCAACCCTTGCAAAGGGAATGCACAATTTGGAAATAAGGGAGCAGCTTTCCAGTCCCTTGCGTTAGCATACAAGAGCATGGGTAATCCTCGAACTGGTGGATGTGCTTTCACTGAACAGAGATCTTTGCAAAACTACACAGCTCTCTGATCCGCTGGGCGCTGGATCAGCTACAGAAAGTTTGGCCCGGGCACCAAAAGATATGACTTGGCATAGCTCAGTCTTCCCCTCCTAATCCATTATGCCAGTGGTTCTCAGCCTTTTTTGTACCAGGACCCACTTGTAAACATCAATTGCCAGTCCCAAACCAGTGTCCCCAGACCCCGTGCGTGGGGCAGAGGAGTCCTCCAAGCAGCCCCTCACAGACTGGATCTCTGCCAGCCTGCAAGGGAAAACCCAAAATTTCCCATTTTTTTCTCTTTTAAAAAAATAATCCATTTTTTAAAATTTTGTTCATGACCCTTTTGTATATTTTTGCAACCCACTTTTGGGTCACAACCCACAGGTTGAAAAACACTGCCTTGCTCTCCCTTCCCCCCAGGATCTGCTTTTTCCTTTGCAAGAGGAACGGCCGACAACTTAGGGGTGAAAAGGGACCAGGGCAGCCAATTCACTTGAGCTGAGAGACACGCTGTCAAGGAATGGAGCTGCAGGTGTGGGGGGCAGGTTTCCTAGGCTGAGTCCCGCACTCAGAGGCATGCCCACTCCTGGCTCCTTGGACAGCGTCAAGGGAGGAAGACAAGTCAGAGGCTGCTGGGGAGGCGGCAGCAGCGGGTGGAAGCCCCTCCGGAGCTGGACTGCTCCTGGGGAGCGGCCAGGGGGCCCCTCCCAGGGATTCCCCGGTCCCGGGGTTCCACGCCGCCCTCAGCAGGTTCCACGCCGCTCCCGGGCTTCCATCGCTGCCCCGGGGAGCTC